CTTTCCATCTTGAGCACCCAGAAAAGCCTGGACCTTGGCTACATGGAAGATGGCCCCATAGAGGTGAGAATACTCTCAGGGACTCTGATCAGGCAGACCAGTCTAAGCCAAGTATTGTCAGGGACTCTGAGCAGGCAGGTCAACCTTGACCAAGTACCTCAAAAACCACACCTGTACCAAGCCTCAGCTAGTGAACTCGGCCCCAGTTCATAGATTGATTCATAGACTGTAAGGGGCTGGAAGGGACCTCACAAAATCATCAGGTCCAGCCCCCCTGCACTAGGCAGGAAAGACAACTGGTTTCAGGTAACAGAGGCAATGAGCACCCTGATTTGCTGCTCAGAGTGCAGCTGGGGTCTTGGGTTTACAAGCCAGTCAATGGTTTTCCTGTGGTAGGCCTCCTGGTTTCCAACCCTGGTTTTTCACTTATTTCTGGATTTTGACTTTGGATGTTGACTTCGGATTTTTTTGCTGATTCTTTTTCCTAGCTCCTGACACCAGTTTGGCTCTGTTTTCAAGCTTTGCCCTGTAGATTACCCTTGGCATATGATCCCTGGATCCTGACCCTGCTGTGGGCTCTATTTCTGGATTTCCCTCTGGTTTTGGTAATATGGCTTCTGCGTTCTGACCCAGCCCCAGGCCCCTGATTTCCCTCAGTGGTTTAATCATTAGAACAGACTGCCTATACCCCAGTCCCTTAGAGCAAGAGGCAGCACATTTTATCATCATTTTTACTGTGTAATGACATCCATTTATTTATTTTTAACCCAAATAAAGTCTTCTAGACAGTAAATATTGTGATCCTTTTTAAAATGTACCATTGAAAACACTGTTTTAGAAAAAAACAAGCCCTTCATATGTTAAGATGTCTAAATAGGCTAAAAGGGTGTTTCCTGCAGAGAAGGGTTCTTCACTTGAAGCTCCTACAGGCTCATGAAAGTTCATATACATTAGTACTGATGGCCATACTATTTCCTGTGAGTGTTGGAGTGTTATAGCCATGATGGTCCAGGAATACATGAGAAGCAAGGTTTTATGGTAACATATTTGAATGGACCAACTAAATAGGTGCAAGCGATGTTGGACTTACTTTTGGAGATAAAATTTGTCAGATCTCTTGTTATTTCTTGGCTATATTCTAACACCATGCAATGTTACAAGGGAATGGCAATCGGGTTGGGGAAAGAGGGGGGAGGGGGAAGTGTCACAAAAGCCACTGAAGTAAAGAGATCCAGGATGGGCCCTTCCACGCTCAACCCTCTGCATACTGTGTCGTTTTCCCTATATCTGATCAGTTTGCTCTCCCACCCACTGAGGGGAAAAGCAGTGCAGGCACATTCCTGCAGTGAAGAGAGCCCTACTATGGAAGCTCTTGCTTGGGGAATGTCAAGAAGATTCATTATCTCTTAAATCTCTGCAAGTCTGGAGTTGGTCAAATGTAACCCTACTGAGTTATTAATTAAATGGTATACTTTTGCTATGTCACCTCTGAACAATCACGTTATTAGGTGAACAACTACATAACCAATCAGTGATTATGCCTTGAAGAATGATAAAGAATGAAAAGGCTTATTTATACAGCTATGTACTTTTGAAAAAAACAGGTGCACTTATAATTTTACAGCCCTCCTGGTGACAAAAGTGGCAACTGAAAAGCATAATTTTGTCTGGAAAAAGGCAATTGTAGAAATGAAATGCAAGCTTCACTAATTGTGGCCATTTATATAAAAAATCAAATTGTTTAAAACAATCAGGAAAGAATTATGCTCTCAGGAGGAAAACAGGGATCAGAACCCCTTGTAATGGATAGGAGGAAGCACAGCGTACACTCCAGCATCTAACCTATTTTCTGCAGGGTAAGTCATTGCAGTGCAGTGGGAGATGCTCTGTAGGGATGTACTTGCACTCTTCAGTGTTGGCAGTTGAAAATGTTTCCCTCTCTGCTTATTTTACAATACTGTAGAAGTTGCTGAATTTTGTCCAGCCATGGTTCTATTTCTGAGGCACCTGGGAACGGATTCTATTTCATATGTATGCACACAAAATTAGGATCAAAGTAAAATAATTTTACTTTCCTCCTAATTGAATGGGGCAGTCCCAATGCCTAAGTTAACAGCTTAAGTAACACACTGTTTTTAGATGGGTGTAATTATTTTGGTAGGCGTGTAATTTTTTTTAAATGAAATCATTATACTACTACAATGTAATGAACGTTTCACTAAAGAGAAACAAGGTGGCACCAGCCATGGTGTGTTAAAGAGCTCAGTAGCCACAGCAGAGGCACTAATGGAAATTAAGTTATTTAATTAGCAAATGTGAAATGTGGGACAAATCCACAGCTGCAATAAATTAACCCTTACTGAATATTTGCTATTGTGTGTGCGAACAAGGAAAGTCCTGAAAATTTTTACCTAGAATCCATGCTGAGTTCCCCTCTCCCCCCCATCTCTTATGGCAAAGGTTGTACAGTATTTGATGCCAAAATATCTATAAAAGACCGCACATAGGCTGTCAACAATAATATCTCTTGATGGTGACTGAAAGTAAGACTCATAGTTCAACTAACGCCAATCCATCTTGCCCTACAGTTGAATTATCATGTTATGATAGTCTCGTATTAGTCTTTTATTTCACAGATACAGGATATGAATAGTTCAGAAGTAGCAATATTATATTAGCAGTTATATCTGTGCAATAATACCTCTTCTCAAAACAACCTCCTACTTTTCCTGCTAGAATGCTATTGTTGCAGAAAATGTTAAAGCCATCTTTGTTAGACAAAATATTAACATATATATTTTTTATCCAAAAATAGATGTGTAGGGCAACAATAAAGGCACATACTATCAGCTCAGAAAGTCAAAATATGATGTGTAGTTATAATTGTTTTCTAATGTATTGTTTTTTCCCCGCTGGATTTGAATGCTCTTCTCTATCCTACTATATTCTAGGTTGGTTACTGCATGATTCCTATCACTGTAGTATCTGACTTCCTTCTCATGAAATGTTTTTTCTCCTTTTATAATATCAAATTTTAGTCTCAAATATTTGGAAGACCAGAGTGGTACACTGTGGTTCTTAACTGGTACTGCTGGGTAATATATCTTTGTATCTAACATATCTAGTAGGTTATTTTATAACTGAAATTAGATCTATCTACAACCGCATAATTGCATGCGCAACAATATTTTCCTCAAGAGGCAATATGCGAATCAATCTGCTAGTACACTATTCATTGTAGGAAGCAGTAAAGAACCAAATCCATAATTAATGTAATAGAATGCAAAATGTTTAGCTATCAATATAGATATAGATAAACAGACCTTAAACAGAAAAATATATATTAATGATATATAAAATAACTCTGGTCTTTTAACCTGTTCTGAAATACCTTTACATTTTTTTATACACAGTGGGTGTATCTACATGTGCACTTTACTGTAGGATAGCCTAATTAGCTCTGCAGTAAAATGTCACTGTCTATATATGTGCCAGTATTAGGGTGCTGTCAACTAATTAACTCCACTGTAAGATAGTACTGTCAAGGAAATAGTACCGGCAGAGTCATTAACTATGATCAAATGCACATGTGGACTGTGACCGCAGGTGTAAATTGCACCTGGTTAGCCCAGCCAGATGGGTCCAGATTCCTACCTCCTGCCAGGCCCTCTTCCACCCTTCACCACCTCCTGCAGCCCAGTGATGACCCCCTGTACTCCCTGCCAGCCCAGGCCTGCTCTGCTTCAGCTCAGATTGCTGCTGTCTGGGAGCATGTGTAGATACTGCACCCAGGAACAGCTTACTCTGGCTCACATGGCTCTGGAGTTTATTTATTTTCATTGGGCACGTCTACACAAGATGCTTACTGTGCAGTTGACTAATTAACTGCTCCGTAAATGTCTCCAAATCTGCATGCATGGCCCTATTAAGGCACACTAAACTAATAAACTCCACAGCAGGGTACGACTTGTAAATTCAAGTTCTACCCTGTTGCAGATTTTTTCATGCATTGCAGCACATGTGTAGGTGCTGACTGCCTGCCTGGGGCATAAGGCTGCCTGCTAGCTTCATCTTGCCTGTTGGCTAGCTCCACACTGAAGTACCCTCATTCCCTAGCTAACCCCTCTGCAGCATGTTGAATGCAGTCAGAGCAGCCCTGGGCAGGCAGGCTGACCCCTAGGATCCCCTGCCACTGGGGCTGGTCCCACTGGGCTCCACATGCTGTGCATAAACAAACTCCAAAGCTAATTTCTCCAGACGGCACACCTGGGAGCAAAAAACTTTGGAGCAATAGGCCCTGAAATGTATTCATATGCACTAATTGCACATGTAGACACACCCATTAATTACACACGTAGATGAACTATGAAACTATGTATTACCTTTAAAGGAGAAAATCCACATTTTTCCATGGGAAATGGAAAACCTAGATCCATGTTGATCATTCAAGATAGAAACATTTGCAATAAATGAGAACAAAATGTACTGGCTGGACACTAATGTATACACTTCCAGGAAGAGTAAATATTTCTTTACACTTCAGGGCTTATGAAGAAGTCCTAAATTCTGATGGAGCCATGTTGTGCTACTTTCCACTTACAAGAACTACAACAAATCTTTGCAGAGGAGTGCCCTAAGAGTAGGATAATATTTAGTGTAGAAAACACCAAAACTTAAGGACTTCAGTAAATGGCAATTATGTCTTGGAGTGTAACTTGTTTTTATCTATTAGACTTTTCAAAACAATGGAGTGCTTTTTATTTCAGAAATGTGTTCATGCTTTTATCATTCCATGCATATACTCACAAAGGTCATGGTAGCCTTTAATATCTTTGTGTTTAATATATATTATTTTAACATAGCCATTTTAGAAACTTCAGGTCTAAGAACTGACACAATAAACTGTGGCACTTAAAGGGGAAACTATAATTACAATAAATAACGTATTGTTAGTATCAGCCTTCATTTAACCAACTTAAGAACATATTAAGTGTACTCACTTGGAACCGATAAAAGGTGCCATCATCCTTTAGTGTTAGAACGTGATCTGAGATTGGAAAGAAATAGCCATGTGCTGCCATTAATGTCCCCAAATGTAGAGCTTCCACTGTTTGATAGGGAGGAAGAAAAGAACAAACAAACAAAAAATATTATGTTTAAATTTACAGCAAGGGATTTTTATTGCAATGGTTTTTCTTGTCTCTTTTAAGAATCATCTACCTCTAAGTGAGGGCCCCTGGAACACAGAAGCATGGCTTTTCCTGTGGAGTATAGAAATGATCCAAACAAGTCTGTTTCCCATTCCCATTTGACAGCATTTCCACTGCCTTCCTGCATAACAGCTGGCTACCTTTAGGCTCAGTAAAACTCTTAGTTGATTTAGTGCCTACGCTGAGAAATTCTGCCACTGTTTGGCCACCGTGTAGCATAACCAATCCTTTTAGAACAAATCTAGATGACACAATGTTGTGTATGTTCTCATATCTCTGCCCAGAGGTGTAACGTGATGCCCAAGTGCCCTGGGTGGCAGCAGTACACGGGCAGGACAGCATTACTGGTTGTGCTGGCACCAGCATGGTGGTAGCTAGTCTGACAGTGGAGCTTCCAGTAGTATAACTAAGAAATGAAGCAACTGGAGCAGCAGTCCTGGGCGCCAGCTTTGAAAGGGGGCCACAAAAATAGCTGCAGTCACAATGGCAGCTGATCATGCTGGTGGAATCATCATGGTGGTAGCTTATGCTGGCCCCCGCAAGGGTAGCTGCCCAACTACACCTCTGGCACTCAAAATGTTTGGAAGTTTCAAAATGTTTTGATT